CAAAACTAAAGAATAAATTGATCCCAGGCGAAGCAGGAGAATACCTAAGTATGAGATAAATATAAATTACGAATATGTATATATAATATATATGAAACTAATAAAAGAATAAAATAATCCTATTGTAAAGCGAGAATTTAAATCGACAGGAGAATAACCAAGTACGAATCCGGAGTATTAATCCGAATCGAAAATAATGTTCTCCGAAAGTTCAATAATGAATAGCTAAGCCCGATTCTAAAAGGCATTCGGATTTCGGATTCATTTCTATACGACTCTGTAGCATCAAGTCAAATACACAATTTCTTATTCAGAGAGATAGTTATCCGAAATCTCAGCTCCTCCACTTCAATGCATATGCCACATAGTCTTTCATTGCCCTCGAGTTAAGCTTCTCAGCTGAATTATGCGCCAAGAGAAACTTTTTGTTTTTTTTTTTTTTTTTTTCCTTAAATAAGTTGATATCAATGCAAATGAAAGAGGTTCTCTGTCTCTGCGCCCTTTTTCTGCTTCTTAGTCATTTTTGATGATACCTTAGCGTCTGCTGGCAGCAAATATAATGCAAAACGGAATATTTTTCTCATTTGTAATTCCTTTGTGCGACATAATTGTTGATGCGAATATATTTCGCATAAAGGCAATTTGGAGAGTTTGCTCAGTGCTCACTATTTACTCGTTGTCCTTGCGGCTGCTACTGCACACACACACACACACACGCACATTCGCACACATACATATACCCTTAATGAATAAAAATGACCGCAACGCAACGTCCATTGCTTGTTTGCACTTTGTGCCGCAAGAAGACAACAAACTCGGTTTGGTTTTTTTTTTCTCTCTTTCTTTTTTTTTTTTGCATTTAGCCACATAATTTATTTAGTTAGTTTTTCTCTCTGTTTATGTATTTTATTTGTTCTTTTTATTTTACTGTTTTCGCTTCTTTTTTTGTACACTGCGGCTTTTGCGCTCTTGAGCCCCTTAAAGATGGGATCCTTTTTGTCTAGGACACGCAACGAAAGTTAATTGCTTAATAGTCGAGACATCGATAAATCAAAATAATATGCGCGCAAGCATAAAGCCGAGCGGCGACAACCGCCAAGCGGACAAAGAATGCCAAAAGGGAAATTGGCAAAAGGAAAGTGGCAAAGGGAGGCGGGGGAGGGGAGCACAGCAGTAGCTCTGCTCTGTGGCTGTGCGCCGAATGCAAACAGACTGATTGATGGCGGCAAGTGATTTATTTATGTTAATGCCAACAGCAGCAGCAGCAGCAACAACAACAACAACAACAGCAATGAGCCAAAATCTAAGTAGCTACCTGAGACGCGATGCCGCCCCCTCCCCATCCTCTAGTCGGCCATGCCCATTGACTTCTGTGCGCCGGCTTCACCTGCGACATGCGCTGCTGTACGTGATTTGAGGCAATTGTTGTTGTATTTGTATTGAGCACGATGACAATTAATCAACGTGGTGCGTGAGCGGAAGGCGTGACGGACGAAGGGTGTGCGAAGGGAGGCGTGGCGTTACGATAACACCCAAAAGAGCGACGAGCGTCGCCATATAAAGTACAGTAAAATGACCAAAAAATGGCAAGCCCCAACCCATAGCTAAGAAGCTAAATCCAAATCCAAACACAAGCCCCAACATGCCCAACCCCAACTCCAGCCCGAATCGAAGACCAGCGCCAGTTCTCGCCTCAGCGCACTGTAAATTGATTTCATTTATTTATTTATGCTGCAACAACCGAAAAACTTGTCTAAATACTTGAAATATTCGCTGTGCACAGTAACATTTGAGCGAATTCCAACCATTTCATCAGCTCGCTCACACCAGCAGCACCAACAGCAACAACAACTACAGCAATAACAGCAACGCCAAGTAAAAGGAGAAAGCAGAAGAAAAAAATATATAAAAAAAAAAAATAGTGGGTTATCGATAGCAGAGATGCCCTGTAATGAAAAAAAATTGGCAGCTAGCTGAAGAGAAAAATGAAAGAAGAAATAGTGACAAAATTAATGTCTAATAATTTATTAATCTAATATATATATGTACATACATATATACAGAAAAAGCAAATTGAATTGCTTATATGTATGTATGTATGTATGTATGCACATATCACAGCTTTATGGCGACCTGTTAGTTTTGTCTTGGCCTTTCGTACCCTTTCATGCGTGCAGGGTATAGAAATGAAAGAAAATGGCAGAGCAACAAACTCTGGCACAGGCGACAAGAAACGCATCAAATGAATTTTAATGCGCGCCGGGGGAACGTTCAATAATTAATCAGCCAAATGGACTGAGTGGGGGAATAAACTTACTCAACTGTTACGGTTGTTGTTTCTATTCCCTTTTTATTATTATTCTTGCTATAGTTTCTCTAAGTAACATGAATAAGAAGGTGTGCATGATAAATTTGGCATTCCAATTAGATGAGGCTTTAAATTGATTAGTTTTCCAAGCAAAAACAACAATACAATATTTAAAGTATTCACATAATAGAATGCTATTTCAACAAAAACCATTTAGTGCATATGTATGTACATATGTACATGTTCAGTCACGTTTATAATTATTCTCTTTGTTTCGTTGACAGCTCACTGTCATTACCTTTTGCTTGCAAATCTAATGGATTACATTCATAATATCGTTTAATTTCTTGAAATTACATTAATCCAAAATCCAATGGGATAAATCACGTTAGCAACACATTTGTCGCCTGCGCCTCTCCATTTACTTGTTCTTTGTGCGTTGCCCAGGCGCCGCTTTGGCTGCGCAGCAATTCGTAACGTAAGCCGCAGCAGCAACAGCAGAAATCGCAGTGCCAAAAGCAAACATCAATAAGAAGTGAGTTCCGAAAATACTCCGATTCACAGTTTTATAGCAATGCAATAATTCTTATGAAAAAAGTTACTGTAAGTAACATATTAAATATTAATTTTATGCTTTCTTTATTATTATTTTTTTTTTTATTAATTTTTAATGATTATTAAACAATAAGTCACCCATATACATATATATGTATGTATGTACATACATTCACACATGTACACGCCCATATCTAAGTGTCTCTTCTCATGTGAACTGTACTGTTTTTATTACTTTCATTTTTCTTTTCTTTTTCGGCGTTATGTTAGTTTTTGCCCCACAGCTTATGCCGCAATACTTTTTCGCGCGTCTGCCGCTCTGTCGCCGCCATTGCTAAGCTTTGCTTTGCTTTGCTTCGCAGCAATTTGCTTTGCTCGGTCGGCTTCTGTTGCTGCCTTTGCCTTTAACGTGACCTTTTGCGACGCGTCGCGACGTTCCAACGATGACGTCGCCGCCACCGCCGCCGCCGTTTTTACAGTTGCTTTTGCTGTCGCTGACGTCCCGCAGCAATAAAACTGATGTCACGTTTTTATGACGCCGTTGATGAGTCGTTATCTTTGATTTCGGCACGCAGCCCAGGCGGCCAGCTCCTGGCTGACATCCCGACAGGCCGTCAAATTGTTTGTGCCTCCTGGTCAAGTTGATACCACATCTGTGATTCATCCAAATCCGCTTCAGGTGCTGCCGCATCTGCGGTCGTTACTTTGTTTCGTTTTCGTTGTTCCTCTTCTTTTTTTTTTTAATTTTCGTCCAGTTCAATTTGCGCTTTTTGTTTTATCGCAAGCTTATAATTTGTTGTGCTTTTTCTTTCGTTGGCGTTTCGGAAAGAGAGAAGCGCCAAGTAGAATACACGCCATTCGGCGTTGTGTTGTTGTTGCTGCTGTGAGGTGCACACAAGCAATGTCCGCCACCTCGTTTCGGATCAGCTTTTGTTTATTGAAGCTTACAGTTGTTTTCTTTTTATTTTTTTTTATTTTGTGTGTGTACTGCTGCTGCTTATGTTTTGTTTACGACCACTGCAGACAACTATAAAATACAACTGCTCTGGCCCCACCAAATCAAGAGCATCCAGAGATTGTTGCCAAGGCAGCTTCTGTTCCCGCAGAGCCCAAAAATTCGCTTCCCTGGGCCAGCTGCCCCATAAATATGAAAAATATGCATGGAACGGAATTTATGGGAATTGTGCTGTCCAAATTCCCCAGCTTTTTATAGTTCAGTTTAAGTAATATTTTTAATACGTATTCGACAGCTATATATCTATTGATCCTGATGTGCTTAATAATTCATTATTCCGTACATTTGTATGCACATCTGTGGTTGAACAAAAAATAATTTGTATATTGTTTTACTTTAAATACGCTTAGTGAACAGTTACCCGCTTAAGTGAACAGTTACCCGAGATATCAACCAACGTAGTTTTACAACGTTTAACATATTTAAACTTAAATAATCAAACTTTAAACTACACCAAATAATCAACAAATATATATGAATTTGAATTGAAATTAAGCGCCAAACAAAAAATATGCGAGTGGCGCACTTTGATTAATCGATATATCAAATAGTCGATATTTTCGACATATTACAGAGCCGCTATGAGCTGAACAGCACTGTTAAGAGCTTAACAGCGGATGTGCAGCTTAACAGCTTGACAAAGTCATCAATAAAATGATTATATTTTGCGTAATATACAATTTGAATAATCATTAATTTTTTCAAGATGCGCTAGTTCTGAAAACGACATTATTTAAGGCAACTGTATGCATAACAGAAATATTTCTGTTCAATATATCGATAATTGCAAATGTTAATCGACATTTAACAGTTGTGTACGCAGCCCTTCAGCTGTGTGCACTTGCATGTGTGGGTGAGCGTGCTCGCGTGTGTGTGTGCGTGCGTGTAAGCGCCTCCGTGCAATCTATTAAAGTGTGGAATAGCAAATATCAATTGAATATATAGAGAAGAAATCAAACGACCGTCCGACCGCTGGCGTTCGCCACAATAATAATTGTTTCCATTGCGATTTTCCGTTACCGACACCGTCGCCGTTGCTGTCGGTGCCCTTAATGTTGTTTTCGCTGATGTTGTCGTTGTTGTTGTTGTCGTCGTCGTCGTCGTCGAAAAAAAAAATGTCGCTGTGTATCTGTTGACGGCAACGCGCAACGGCAAAAAAAAAAGTTTCAATTGTTTTCATTAAACGGCATCGACAAAAAGAAAAAAAAAATAGCAAAAGAAATCAAAAGCCTAAATAAAATTTATGCGCGCACCACACGCCCCAAACGACGCCCCGCTACTGTTAACCGATCCGCCCAAGCGCAGCAAGAGGAAGCAACACAACGCAGTAGCAACAGTGAAGGCTGCCCGCACCCACACACGCCCTAAATCCCCAAGGCAGAGGCTCGAGCTCAGGCTCCAGCTTTAGCTCCGCCTCCTGATCCAGCTCCAGCTCCCGCTCCGACCTCAGCTCCCACTCAGTGCTAACAAATGGCCTCCAACAATTTTGGCAGCAATGCTGCTGCCGGAACAGCAGTGACCTCGGTCTCTGCAGCAGCAGCCGCGGCAGCAGCAGCTGTCAATGCTGATTTGTGGCGCGAATGCGTTGCCTGGTTGGTGCGCTGCAAGGTGATACCAGCGGACCACAAGGCCGCCCTGCCCGACGCCGAGATACGTATTCTGGCCATGACGTTGCGCGATGGCGTGCTGCTCTGCAACCTGGTCATACACCTCGACCCCACCAGCATGGATGCGCGCGAGTTCAATCGCAAGCCGCAAATGGCGCAGGTGAGGCATAGCGTCATAAAATTTTATGCATGTATATGTGTATGTCGACGATGTATATAAATTTTGCAATTATTTTGATTTCAGTTTCTGTGCTGCAAGAATATCAAATTGTTTCTGGATGTGTGCCACAATCATTTCAATATACGCGAAGCGGATCTCTTCGAGCCCACGATGCTCTACGATCTGACCAACTTCCATCGTGTGCTCATAACGCTCTCGAAGCTGTCGCAGTGCCGCAAGGTGCAGCAACTGCATCCGGAGCTGATGTAAGTGGAATGCGGATGGCAGCATCTGCAATTTTCTCAATTTGATTGGCCTAAATTAAACAGTTATTTCGTTCCCTTGCAGCGGCTTCAATCTGCAGCTGTCGCCCAGCGAACGCTCCCACTCGGATGAGGCCATATATAAGGATTTGCATTCCACGTAAGTGTTCAATCGATACTCTCTACGTGCGCCGTGTGTTATCTCTAGTGCGTGCTCTTCCCCCCTCAAAACACCCTTCCCGCCACCTCACCTGGCCGGCAGGCTGAAGCTGCTGCAATTGCAATTGTCACTCTTTGCATTTCCTGTCTCGAGATGCTTGCTCGGATTTCATTATGCGCTCGCGCAACCCGACAATGTCCCGATGGCAACACCATAGACCCGACATCCGAGACCCGCTTAAGCCCTTGTCTGGCTGCTTATCAGCAAAAGCAAAAGCAAACGCAACAACAACAACAACATTCACAAGCAAACAAACAAACACAACAACAACAACGACAACAATAACATAAACATCAACAGTAACAAAACCAACAAATATCCATGCCCCAGCTTTATCTAACACACACACTCTCTCTCTCTCTCTCTCTCTCCCTTTCTCTCTCTCGCTCTAAAAAAAAACCCCCCGTTTTTGTTTTCTTTTTCCGGCTGTCTGTTCCAAAAAAAACTCCCTCTAACGCATTGTCCCCTTGTCGCCCCCCCGAAAAAAAAAAATCAAAAATCTCGCCCAACTCCCATGCTTTGGCTGTACGTCCGCTCGCTCCTCTGTGTGCCTGTGTGCGTGTGCGTGTGTATGCTTATGCTTGTGTGTGTGTGTCTCTCTGAATGCTCCCCCGCACCCCACATCACGCCCTCTACCCGGCAGCAATAATGAATTGAGGACAACGGGCAGCATGGATGCCACCGGCTCCTCATCCTCGGAGTATTACGAGCGGACCTCGCACAGCGGCTCGCTCTCGGTGGAGGATGAGAATAGCGACATTACAATTGAGAACGGCACCGAGGACATTGACGACTATATCGAGGATTCGCTGTCCAACATGTGTGATTCCAGCATCGACAACGATGCTGCCATCGGTGGCGATGCCAATCACTCCGTCCAGGGCCAGCTGCGGGCCCTCTCCTTTGATCTCAATCCCAGTGCCGGCAACAGCGGCAGCTTTGACTGTGTCACGCCCACGCCGCAGGTGGATGCGCCCAAGGCGAGCACCTCAGCTGCCGCTGCAGCCGCTGCTGCCCAAGAAGCAGCTGCAGCCGCTCAAGAAGCCGCTGCAGCAGCTCGAGACGCAGCCACAGCAGCAGCGGCAGCAGCAGCAGCAACAACAAAAGCGACAACAACAACAGCAACAGGCAGTGGCAAGAGCTCGGCCATCGAGAGGCAACATCATGCCTCCACCAGCTCCTCATCCTCGTCGCTGTTCGTCAGCGAGAGCCAACGCCTGCAGCGAGCCGCCGCCGCCGTCTACAACTATCGATCCTCGATGATGATGTCGACGGAGCACGAGTATGCCTACATCAACGACATCTACAGCGAGGACGACGAGAAGGTCTACGAGGATCTCTGCTACGTCACATTCCAGTCCAAGGCCAAACCAGAGGTGTGCTGTCAACCTACTCTCGCTGTATAACCGCAACAAAAGCTAAATCATGTGTTACACCACCTATCAATATATAGCTATAACACAATCACCATCATCATCACAGTCACAGTCACAGTCACCATCATCCGTCATCCGTCATCCCTCATCAGGCACCCACACACACACACACACTCACTCACACTCACACACACACACTACAATCCGAAGAACCGCTTCTGTTTAGCACGCGCCTTGACTCTACTCGTAGCTGTCCTCATTAGCAACTGCTAACCTGGTCGCCCCGCACCGAAATCTCTCCCTCACTCACTCACACACCAACACACACACACCCACACACACACACACATGTATTGCTATATATCCACCTGCAACCCATAGACATATGCCCATATACATATACATATATACATATATGCACATGTCTCTCTCTCTCTCTGTCTATGCATTCTTTTCTGTTTGCTTTCTGTTTCTCTCTCTCTCTCTCTCTTTCTTTGCCCGCTATAAGCCCCCCCCTCTCTCTCTCTCTCTCTCTCTATCTCTGTCTCGCTCGCTCTCTGCACAGACCTCGCGCACTATTCGTAACCCCTCACATACCATAAAATGCAATTCCAATTGAACCAAACTGACAACGGAAACGGCAAACCATTTATTTATATATATATATTTGTTTTTGTTGTTGTTCTGTTCTTCTTCTTCATCGCACTTTTTTTTTGTTTTTTGTGGGTTTTGTTTATAATCAAAACGGTTGTCAACCCAAGCGGGAAAATTCGCAAGTGTCATTAGTTTGGACATATACCTACATACATATATATCATATATCTGTATGTATGTATGTATGCTATGCCTGTATTTTAGAGCTCGAGCATACTCTATGCCAGACACGACCCATTGACTGACTCACGCCGCCCCTCCCGATACCGATATCGATCGACACTCTTTGGGTTTTTTATTCAACAGCTCTTCAGATAACAGCTATCCCAAATGGGTATCTCCGAATCAAACATGTTGTGTCGCAATGCGTATCTGAAACCCAAAAGCGTTTTAGCTTATCTCAAATGCAATTAGGCTCAAAAAATAAAAATAAAAGGGAAAAGATTTTGTGAAACTCCATTTGCAAAGCCAACGATCCAAAGGGCTTAGAGATTGTAAAAACTGAGCATCTAATTTGATTTATCTAATAATATTTCATATAAGATCTCGAGCTCAGTAGGAGTCCGATTTGATTTATAGGTTATTTCATAGATTGATATATGAGACACATATGTATATGCTCATATGAATACCCTAAGATCTTGCAAGCTAAAGAACGTTTTAATTTGCTTCAGCTTTCTTTCCGAAGATCTCATGATTTATATAATTTTTGGATACATACATCCGCAGATCCGCGAAAAGTCTGAAATACTTCTGAGGATAACTCAAAGTCAATAAGATCGGATGAGAGTCCAAGAGCCTAAGGTCAATCATTTGACTATATTTACACAAAAATCTAAGTTTTAGAATATTACCAATTTGAATGAATAATCAATTAAATATAGCATTCCCAGACCTTGATTCCTTATCCCTAACGAATTTGTAGATCTAACTAGCGGCAATACTGAAGACACACTTCTCAATTTTATATATGTACGTATATATATATATAAGCCAATTTAAAAATAGAACATTCGCACATCTTGATTCAACACAAAGAAGATAATGCTATATTGCTTAAATAATCTGCACATTAGTTTGAATCTTAAATCTAATGATAGTTCTTGAACTAGAGTTATTGAGACACACACAATTTGCCTTCAACCGCCTTCAATCAATCCTATATTTATCAACTATACAAGTCAATTTAAAGATCTTAGCGCTCTCCCAAACGATTAATGCAATATATAGTCGATATATAGCCATAGATATCAACTATTTAAGCCAATTTAATGACATTCTTTTGGAACATTTTCCAAGATATTGCTCTCTATGATCCATACCCTAGCGTTTCTGTAGATCAGTTCGAGTCTTAGCCGTATAAATAGAATCATTAAAATCATATCTTAAGACACACAACTTTTGTCTTCTTCCGTCTTCAATCAATCCTATATTTACATAAATATCTACCCAGATTTGATATTTGATATATATAATCATTCTTTGTAGTATTGCTATGTGTGTATGTGTGTGTGTGTTTATCTCTAACAATAAGCGAACATCTACATACAATAATCCTTGCCGTGTGTGTGTGTGTGAAAATTGAAACTTTCTAGAGCTTAGTCAAGTCTTGTGTGTGTGTGTGTGTCGTGATTTCTCCATTTCTACTAGTCCTGTATGTGTGTGTGTGTGTGGGTGGGTGTATGTATGTAAATAAAGCAATATATGATTCTTATATAGAGGAACATGATGTTTGAAGCTTCTGCCACACTTCGCTCACTGCTGAGGCACTGCATCATCATTGGACTCGTCGTCGCCATCGTCGTCGTCGTCGCAGCTGCTGTCGCAGTTGTAGTCGTCGACGCTATTGTAGATATCTGTGAGCAGCGGCGTCACATTCACGCCGGGCATCAGCTTCTCCAGCACCTGCCCCGCCACCTTGCACAGGCCGCCCAGACGGCGCTCCATGCGATGCTCGTAGCGGCGACGATGTCTATAGTATTTCTCCTTTTCGCTCAGTACCTTGCGCTTCCTCTGTGCCGTCGCCGGCTTCTTCCCTGCTGATGCTGATCCTGACCAGCTGGCCGATTTGGTTGCCGGCGGCTGCTCGTCCAGCGGCATGGAGCCCGATGCTGTTTCGTAGCTGGTGGGCAGCTGTTCGACAGTGTTCGGCTCGCAGATATCGGACGCTGACTTAGCGGGCAAGGGGGAGGCCAAGAGGGACTCCACTTCCGATAGATCGGATACCTCGACAGCAACCGGATCCGATGGTTGTGAGCTCTCCTGGGAATCTGAATCAGTAAATAGGTCCAAGGTCGAGTCGTCACCCGTTGTCACACTGAAGTGAGAATAGCGCTGCTCATTGCAGCTGCCTTGGGGCAGCTGATCATCCTGCTGATCCTGTGGTGTCGGCCGATCCACAGGAGTCGCCCCCATTTGGTATCTCTTCTGAAATGGCTTCGCACCTGTCAACGGACCGAAATTGTGGTCATTGACAACGCCACGAATGGCCAAATGGTTGGGCGACTGCGAATGGGAATGGGTGTCAGGGTGCGGCTGCTCCTGGACATTGGGCTCCTTGAGGGCGTATGAGTGCAGGTCGGTGGTCTTCTGGTTCATATACGCATGGATCTCGCCAAAGAACTCCCACTCCTCGTTCAGCACATCGATGCACTGCTTGTTCAGCGGCGTCACCTGCATATTCGACTTCTGGATGCGATACCGTTGCACCATGTTGAGCCACTGTTTGCGCAGGGCGCGTTCGCTGTAATCGCCTATTTTGGCCATGTCCTTGAACTTTCTGCAATGCACGCATACAAAGTCGTCTATGAATGTGGTATATACGTATACATATATGATAAGTGCACTTACTTCCATGGCTCCGTCTGCTTGGACGAATACTTGGAGAACAAATCTTCGGCTTCGATGCGTTTGGTCACCAGCTGACGCTTCTCCTCCACAGACCCTAAGTATATTTTGGCATATAATTCTCAGTAATAACTAACATTGCCCATGCATTTGTCCTACTCACACTTCTTGGAGCCACTTTTTGCATATGTGTGGTGCTCCATTGTGCACTCTTGCAGCTGAAAATGCTCTCGACGCACGTGCACAGCCAAATAAATGAACCCAAAAAAAAAGAAAGAAATGTAAATTTGATGCTCGGCTGCTGCTATTGAGCTGCTGAGCTATTGCTGTTGGCCCTCCCTGGTTATGTTAGCTTAGCATTTTAATGTTATGCACATGGCAGCGCTGTTAGGCTGCTGTTGTGCTCAGTTGGTACTTGTACAATCGATATCGAAATCGATTAGTGGCGCCCCTTTTTGATTTAATTTTTGTAAATTATTTGTTATCGTTATTAATTTTTTATTTAAATTTATTATTCTTTGATTTTGATTTTTGTTGTTATTTTGATTTAGTACCACCGACAACATTGCATGCAATGGAACCGCTTATGATCACATCAACACAAAAGAAGAGGAGGTCTATCAAGATTTGTGCGCACTGCACAGAACGAGTAGAGGCCAGGTAGTAATTTCATTTCAGTTTGTACATTATCTGCATAAATAGCCTGCAAAAAAAATGTATTTAAGTAAATAAGTAAACAAGAATGTTTAGCTCGGCTTAGTTGCATGACTTTATATGACCAGGCAGACAAATGCTGCCCAAACTCGGCTCAGATAAACTAAAGATTTTGCATCTCTTCCCTCCCGTTCGTGTAGACAACATCCGCGACCAGCTTTGAGCAGCGGGACTATGTCATACGCGAACTCATCGACACCGAATCCAACTATCTGGACGTGCTCAATGCACTCAAAACCAAATTCATGCTACCGCTGGAGCGGCATCTCAATCAAGATGAACTGCGTCTCATCTTTCCCCGCATACGGGTGAGCACTGAGGGGAGGACCGGAAGAGGGTTTTCATATATGCTTATATTTGTTGTCTTGCTCTTTTAGGAACTGGCCGACATTCACACAAAGTTTCTGGAGAAGTTGCGCGAGTCACTCATGCCCAACGCCAAGCAGAAGATGGGCCAGGTGTTCCTTGAGTTCCGCGAGCCTTTCCTCATCTACGGCGAGTACTGCTCCTGCCTGCTGAACGCCATAGACTATCTAGCCGATATCTGCAAGAAGAACCAAATAATTGACCAGCTGGTGCAGAAGTGCGAGCGGGAATACAATGTGGGGAAGCTGCAGCTGCGGGACATCTTGTCGGTGCCCATGCAGCGCATACTCAAGTACCACCTGCTGCTGGACAAGCTGGTGAAGGAGACGTCGCCGCTGCACGAGGACTACCGATCGCTGGAGCGGGCCAAGGACGCCATGATCGATGTGTCGCAGTACATCAATGAGGTGAAGCGCGACTCGGACCATTTGGTCATCATCCAGAAGGTCAAGGACAGCATCTTCGATCTGAACTTGCCGCACAACGGCAACGATCTGCTGCAATATGGACGCCTACTGCTCGACGGCGATCTGCATATCAAGGCGCACGAGGATCAGAAGACGAAAATGCGTTACGCCTTTGTGTTCGACAAGATTCTGATACTGGTCAAGCCGCTGCATGTCAAGACCGGCGACATGCAGTACACATATCGGGACTCGCACAATCTGGCCGACTATCGGGTCGAGCAGAGCCACTCCCGCCGCACGCTCGGCCGGGACACGCGCTTCAAGTACCAATTGCTGCTGGCCAAGAAGTCGGCGAAGACCGCCTTTACGCTCTACTTGAAGTCGGAGCACGAGCGGGACAAGTGGCGCAAGGCGCTCACCGAAGCCATGTGGGTACAGTGAAGCCTGCTCAATGGATTTACTTATACATCATTTGTTTTCGTTCAATGTTTGTGTAGGGAGAGCCTCGATCCGCCTGGCTGCCGGAATACGGATCATAAAATGGAGATTTACACCTTCGATGCGCCCACCACGTGCCGGCATTGCTCCACATTTCTGAAGGGACGCATCCACCAGGGCTATCGCTGCAAGGTGTGCCACATCAGCGTGCACCGGGGCTGCATCTCGTCCACGGGGCGCTGCAAACAGAATCCGGTTAGCATACCGCCGCCCGTCTGCGATCGCCAGCTGTCCGAGTTCAACTGGTTTGTGGGCAACATGGATCGGGAGACGGCGGCCAATCGCTTAGAGAATCGACGCATTGGCACCTATCTGCTGCGTGTGCGTCCACAGGGCGCCTCCTCGCCGCACGAGACCATGTATGCGCTCAGCTTGAAGTGAGTGATGACTAAATGGGATTCAAATAGAAGTTCATGTAATGCCTCTCTTTCTCTCTCTCTCTCTCTTCCTCTCTCTCTTTGTCTGTCTGTCTCTTTTTCTATGCAGGACCGACGACCATGTGATTAAGCATATGAAAATCAACCAGGAAAACGATGGCGAGTCCATGCTCTACTGCTTGTCATCGCGTCGCCATTTCAAGACCATCGTCGAGCTGGTTTCGTACTATGAGCGCAATGACTTGGGCGAAAACTTTGCCGGGTGCGTATGGCTCTTTAATACATGCTCCATACTCCATTCACGTACGCAACTGATATGCATAGCGAGCACTAATACATACACAAAAGAGAGTCCGCTTTATTCGGCTCAAATCCAGAGCGAAACGAAACTATTTCGAGCCGATCGCAAACGAGCTCGTTAAGGAGCCGATGCAATCGGTTGCTCTCTCAGTTTTTTTTGTCAAAGTGTGAGTGAGAGACAGAGTAGAATATGTATGTATGTGTGTACATTGCTGTACATAGAACAGATAATATATGGGTGTACATACATATGTTATACATAGAACAGAGGAGAAAAGGCTTAAGTATATATTCCTATAACATATGTTATACATAGAGCATAGGTGATATAGAATATGTATGTATGAACCTAGTTAACGAAGGGGAAGAAGGGGAAGAAGGAGAGTTAGGGCTATGCTTACAATCAAGCTTGGGTCATGACTCGGTCTAGGCAGGTGACTCGTAAGTCCTCTAGTACTGAGCAAGTCTTTGATCTACAGTGCCAAGAGAAAATTGAAGCTCTCGAGGTATTTTTTAGCGACGGCCTACTGGATGTGATCTCTTTTAAATATAGAGATCTCACTCTTTATGCCTGCCTCTCATACATATGTCAAGCAGATCCAGAGATCCCTCTGGAAGAGAGGGTTCTTGGTGTTCTATTACAGGCTCTTTGTTGATTTCAATTTTTTTTTTACAGCCATATTCCATATTGGGAATTGGTATAGTTCAGTTTTTTTTTTATATGCGACCATATTGGCTGAGTCTGTCGTCAGATAGTTTTTTTTTTATTTATTTATTTTTTTTTTTTTTTAACAAAATCAATCAATTTATATTAACAACAGAATCCGATTATACCAACGCACAAGGGACCGTCGTTATAACCATAAGACACTATAGACATACAAGTTTCTCTGCATTAACCGTACGGATGCTATAAGCGGAGTCGTTATACCCGAATTTAAATCTGCTTCCCATCAATCCATCCAATTTCACTGATTTGTGTGTTTTGTCCACAGGCTGAACCAGTCGCTACAGTGGCCCTATCGTGAGGTCTACGCCACGGCGCTGTACGACTTCGATCCGAAGCCCGGCAGCAATCAGCTGCAGCTGCGAACCGATTGCCAGGTGCTGGTAATTGGCAAGGATGGGGACAGCAAAGGCTGGTGGCGTGGCAAAATCGGTGATACGGTGAGTAGAGTGGATTATAGATACATGATTATTCAAT